ATTGCCCAAAAAGTTTAGGAATAAGGGGCCAAAAAGGGGCCAAAAATAAGCATTTTTCTAGTTTCCAGACAATAACTTGTGCTCAAGTGTATGGATCTCTCTGAAATTGTACTGCAAGGTACCATACCACAAAGGGAAGGCTGGGATTGATTTTGGGGGTAATTCCTTCAAAATTTTTGGAATTAGGGGCCATAAAAGGGCAAAAAACAAGCATTTTTCTAGTTTCAGGACAATAACTTGCTTGTAAGTGTGTGGATCTTTATGAAATTGTACTGCAAGGTTCCATATCACAAAGGGAAAGCTGGGTTTGAGTTTGGGGGTAATTGCCCTAAAAGTTTAGGAATTTGGGGCCAAAAAGGGACCAAAAAACAAGCATTTTTCTAGTTTCCAGACAATAACTTGTGTTCAAGTGTATGGATCTCTCTGAAATTGTACTGCAAGGTACCATACCACAAAGGGAAGGCTGGGATTGAGTTTGGGGGTGATGAATCATAAGGGGGTTCAAAAAATTTGGGGGGGGATTTTTTTTTCCTTTTTTTTCTTTAAAATTTACCATTTTAAATTGGTTATTTCTGATTTATATATAAAAGCAAATAATAATGATATGGTTTGAATAGGTAAATTAAAAATTTTTAAGTTCTTAGACCACTTTCATTCTGTGTCAGAAACCTATGCTGTGTCAAATATTTAATTACAATCCAAATTCAGTGCTGTATCAAGCTTGAATGTTGTGTCCATACTTGCCCCAACTGTTCAGGGTTCGACCTCTGCGGTCGTATCAAGCTGCGCCCCAGCAGAGCATTTTATTCTCTAATGAAATCTGACACTTTACCGGAATTGTTTGCCACATTCTCTCCTGAAATCTGACACTTTACCAGAATTGTTTGCCTTATTCTCTCCTGAAATCTGACACTTTACCAGAATTGTTTGCCTTATTCTCTCCTGAAATCTGACACTTTACCAGAATTGTTTGCCTAATTCTCTACTGAAATTTGACACTTCACCAGGTTTTGCCCATTTCTCCTGAAATTTGACACTTCACCAGGTTTTGCCCATTTCTCCTGAAATTTATCACTTTACAAGATTTTTTTTTGTCCATTTTTTGCCTGAAATTTTACACTACATCAGATTTTTTTGCCCATTTTCTACTGAAATTTGACACGTTACCAGATGTTTGTCCAATTCTCTCCTGAAATTTGACACTACATCAGATTTTTTTGTCCATTTTCTTCTGAAATTTGACACTTCACCAGATGTTTGTCCAATTCTCTCCTGAAATTTGACACTTCATCAGATATTTTTGCCCATTTCTCAATGGAAATTTGACTCTCCCCCAGAAATCTGCCCATCACTGAACTGAAACTTGACACTTTACCAAATGTTTGTCCATTTCTTTACTGAAACTTAACAATATACCAGATGTTTGCCAAGCTTCAGAGATCAAGACTGCCAGATCTCTTTATCACAAGCTGTTTAAACTAATGGTGCTAAGCAGGTCGCGTCAAACAGAACTGAATTGCTGGCCATTTTGGATTTTGTACAAAAAATCTAGCCTACAGGCTTCTAGATACAATGTGAGATGTCAACTATTGTTTATACATTGATGATTGTAATGTCCTATAGAACCATGAAAGTTATTTGTAAGCACTATGAAAGGATGATGGTTGAATTGTTTCTTGTAAGAGGCACTGTAAATCTTGACAAGCTTAGTTTTTAGCTAGATTTATGTCAGCTTTTACAAAGATAAATTTCAAACTATTTGGGTCAAGTCTGGAAATTAAAAAGCAAATATGATGCAATGTTTTATGTAATGAGAAATTTCCAATTGATTTTTCAGATGCATTATATAATCCAATGAAACATTGTATATTGTGGGCGGTAGATATTGAATTTGTAATCAATCTACTTGCTTCATGTGTTCAATAAGCCGAACATTTGTGTTTTCTGATGAATATACGCGAGCAGTGTTCTAATTTCAAATTGCATCCTGATATGGAATAAATTTTCAAATAGCACCTTGCTGTCCAAATTGATAGAGAGCTTGTTTCAATGTACAGACCATATATATATTGCCATGTTCAAAAGTTGAAGAATGTGAGACATAGGGATTACAATCGGATGATGCGGAGTGAACAATTTGTATAAAGCTTTATATTTCAGAAGGTAGAAGACCTGGATGTTTCATACCTTGTATGCAGATACCTGTTATATGATTAGTAGTCCTAATGTTACAAAGTTTCTTCCTGTCAAATGTACATTGTCCTTGACCTCATTTTCATGGTTTAGTGACTGCAAAAAAAATGTATAGTTTTTTTGTCATGTGAAATACTCACTTATGCTATATTTGAGACATGGGATCCTTGCAAAGTCTACATGTCTTTCAGACAGAGTTCACCTGACCTTGACCTCTATAATTGGATAAGCAATCAAGGTTAAGTTTTTGTGGTCAAGTCTGTATCTCAGATACCATAAGCAATATGTTTACTATATTTGGTGTATTGAATGATTGTAAGGTGTACATATCCGACTGGCAGGTTTCAACTGACATTGACTTTTTCCATGGTTCATTGGACAACGATTAGTTTTTGTGGTTTGGTCTATTTCTCTGATACAATAAGCAATAGGACCAATATACAAGGTGTATGGAGTGATTGTAAGGTGAACATGTCTGTCTGGCAAATTCCATATGACATTGACCTCATTATTCCATGGTTTATTGGTCAATGTTAAGTTTTCATGGTTTTGTCAGTTTATCAGAAACTATAAGCAATAGGTCAATTATATGACAATTTAGTGTATGAATGATTGTAAGATGTACATGTACATGTTTGTCTGGCAGGGTTCATATGACCTTGACCTCATTTTCATGGCTTATTGATCAATGTGTAGTTTTTTGGGTTTGCTCTATTTCTCGGATACTATTTAATCAATAGGGCCACTGTATTTGGTGTATGGATTGATTTTATGGCCTACATGTCTGTCTGGCATGGTTCATCTGACTTTGACCTCATTTTTATGGAACATTGATTATATTAAGTGTATGTGATACTTGTAGTAATGCTTCATATTACAGATTTTCATAAATTCAATCATGATAAATAAAGCAGCTGAGAAACTTCAGTGTGTGCACACTTGTCTTTTTGTTGGATGTACAAGTACTACTTTTGGGATGTTTTCCAATTCTAAATTATCTTGAAAAGAGAGCAATAGTTGGAAAAAGAATTAATGAGGAACACAGTTGATATGATGGAAATATAAGCAACATATGATACAATCCCAGTCTAATTAACATTATAAATAGTTATAGCTTTTACTTGCATGTTGTTCAAAGATAAGGAGGAAAATTCTACTGATGTGTAAATAATTTTGGCAAGTTTTCTGTATTATTTTTTACAAGAAATAATATATTTGACGAGTGATAAACAGCTAGCTAGAATTGACATGAAGTGTTGTATCTCAACATGTGGTATAACTGTTACAAGGGCTTATAACTAGATTTCTAACATGGAATTGATAGAAATTTTTGGGAGTTAATCCATTGTTAATTTTGGAATTTAATCAAGTTCTAAAACCTTATATTTTGTGCTGACAGTGTAATATATCTAGAATACTGAAAAGGGAGGTTCATACAAGTAGCAGGGTTTTTTCTCCAGCAAATAACATTGAGAGAAAAAGAATGGTGAGAACTTGCCAGGATTCACTTGAAATTCTTCAGTAAAATTGATACACTGCTACTTGTTATGATACATGTAGATATTATATTGACTGTTTCATTTTACATGAATACCATATACACAGATACTAGTTTGGGAGTATTCCTCTTGGGATAATTACTGTTTCATTTTACATGAATACCATATACACAGATACTAGTTTGGGAGTATTCTACTTGGGATAATTACTGTTTCATTTTACATGAATACCATATACACAGATACTAGTTTGGGAGTATTCTACTTGGGATAATTACTGTTTCATTTTACATGAATACCATATACACAGATACTAGTTTGGGAGTATTCTACTTGGGCTAATTTTGTGACATATGAATTGGTGGATTTAGTATTTAACAATTTAAAAAATATAATTATGAACTAGGTAACACAGGAAATAAAGTGTAATAGAACTGATGAAGAGAGAATATATTTCTAATTTATGTCAGTACCAGTTTTAATGGATTAATGAATGACTGAACCCAGTGAGAAATTACAACAAATCACAAATGATATCTGATAATATTCATATTTCTTACATGTATCTGGATAATTCCTAACCTGATAAATATGATAACTTGTTAGAAGTTTTTAGTGTAAATCTTCAGTAAAATAATGACGCCCAGTGATTAACTTACAAAAGTACATTGTAGCATCCCTACTTAAAAGGTCAAGGTTAAAAAGAAAGAAAAGAAAAAACATTCACTGGATTTCTACATGAAGAATTGCTTTTTGTTTTATTTTAAAGCAGATATCTAAAGTTGGAAGAAAAGGCAAATCTAATAATTAGTATTCTTATATCTTTTATGAATAATCTTATAGTTGAGAATATTTAGTGAAAGGAAGAACATCTTTTGATAAGATATTATTTATTGGTGGAGAAAATAAGAGTGTTATTTTAAAGGCTGCCTAATGGGGACAGTGATATTTATAATTAGCTTATAATAACACACTGGACAGTGTTATTACCACGGGGACTGGACCACACCATCTGTCTAATGTTTAGAATTAATTAAGTGTCTTACTATGAAGCTTATTTTGGATATTGATTCAGAATTTCCTCAACATGAAAACATAACTCATTGGTTAAATTGAGTGTTAAAAAGAATTTATGAAAACTCTATATTTATAGATTTTACTTGGATTGTACATACTGGTTGGATTTTGTGAATGATTCTGGGGTAGCCTAAAATTTATACTGGAAAGCCAGAAAAAACATTAATTTTCTATTCAGATGTATAATTAGGTAACACACAAAAGTTGGAGATATATAACTAACTTTGTTTATTATTGTTTTTAGTAGTACACCTATATTTGGGTGGTACATTTATAATAACCAAATGTATAAAAACTGTTTATTTCGGTGAAAGCATATATAAATAGAGGATAAATGAAAAAGATAATTAGACTCATTGTTAAATTTAAATTAGTATAAAAAGGAAATGTGCAAATTGAAATTTGTGTTGATAGTCTGGAAAAACACTTCTGGGCCATTTTAAACGGAATTGAACAATTGTTGAGGATGAACCAATGAATGACAGGAAAGTGGTTGACAATACAATACGTGAATTAAGGGAAGACTTTTTTATTATTTAATTGATGTCAGTGGTAGAAATACTGGATCAAAAAAGAATGGACGAAATATTTAATATTAAGAATTAGATCTGATCTTTGATTATCATGTGTTGTAGTATAATTAACTTAATATCACAAGTCTGTATCCAAGGAAGCACCTGTTGTTTGAAGTGTCCAGCTATTTCCTGTCTTTTCTAAGACAGGTGTCATCACGGATATCACCTTGTCCAATCACAATATGCAAAAAGATATAGAAAAATTACGTATTTTGGGAGTAATGCTGCTTCTTTTTTTAATGTGATGCAATATTATTAAAACATCCTGAACTGTTTGGAATTATTTACTGCGATTTATAGAAAGAGACAAAAATAGAAAAAAAATACATTGACAAAATGGAAAGTAGAAGAAATATAAAGAAGATGTGGGAACAATTTTCCTCAGAATTAGGGTCAAGAATAGACAGATGGAGGAAAACTGTTTCACAAATTGGTCAGAATGAAATGTCAGGTTTGTATATGTGTATGCAGTAATCATAGGAAATAATATGTAAATAGAAATATTGATTTGTTTTGATTTTTTTTTTTTTAATTGGTTTGCCCCTAATTTTGTCATTTTCCTGCCCAGACTATGACAGATGTATCCAAGTCTGAATTAGGATATAATGTGGCTTCTATAAGAAAATGGCATCATGGATCATTGTTCTCAAACATTTTTGTACATTATTTTAAAAGTACTTGTTAGTTTTTAAGGGCTCAGAATATAGGACTCATTGTCATTTATAAATAAGAGATAGCCAACAGTGTACATGAAGAATATTGTCAAAATTTACAGGTATAAAGGTTATATCATAACATTCTTTGTTCACTACATCTCATGTGGGTTATATAGTTTCTAGAATTCTTGAATGCAAAGCTTGCATCAGTGGGTTGCACTTCATTATAAGTCTGAGGATAACAGTCTCCTTGGGTAGAGTAGACATGTGACAAGTTTTGCCTACCCCAAGATGTTCATGGTTGGAAGAAATTAAATGGTTCTGAACTGTAGTGTATTTTAATCAGTGTTTATTTAGGTTTCAGTCCTTTATATAATGTAATAGGAAGAAACATATAACGTGTATTAAGGATGTATTCCTCTGACGTTTCAGTCTCTTTGAAATCTCGTTCTGGAATTATTTCCAAAACATGTGATACAAGTGGAAAATATCAATGAATTTAACAAATATTATAATCAAACTTAACTCTGTGAAAAAATTGTGTATTTACAGTAAGTAGTTTTTGAGTAATAAAATTTTCAAATTTTATAACCAATCAAGTCAGTCGCATTAGCCAAAATATTGAGAAAATGGGTGAGGGGTACAAGAAATGATTTTACCAGAAACATGTACATCCCATATCAATTTTTTCTTTTCAAATTTCTTAGATATGTATTTTTTCAATCATTTATATTAAACAAAGAAGTTGAAATAATATGCTTTTTGTTGTCGAGCCTTCGACTTTAGTCGAAAAAGCGAGACATAGTGATCCTACATTCCGTCAGCGTCGTTGTCGTCGGCGGCGTCCACAAATATTCACTCTGTGGTTAAAGTTTTTAAAATTTTAATAACTTTCTTAAACTATCCTGGGTTTGTACCAAACTTGGACAGAAGCTTGTTTATGATCATAAGATAGTATCCAAAAGTAAATTTTGTAAAAAAAATAAATCCATTTTGTCCTTATTTTACTTTTAAATGGACTTAGATTTTCTGCCAGGAAACAACACATTCACTCTGTGGTTAAAGTTTTTAAAATTTTAATTCTTATACTATTTTGGATTTGTACCAAATTTGGACAGAAGCTTGTTTATGATCAAAAGCTAGTATCTAGAAGGAAATTTTGTAAAAAAATAAATCCATTTTTTCCGTATTTTACTTTTAAATGGACTTAGATTTTCTGCCAGGAAACAACACATTCACTCTGTGGTTAAAGTTTTTAGAATTTTAATAACTTTCTTATACTATTTTGGATTTGTACGGTCTACCAAACTTGGACAGAAGCTTGTTTATGATCAAATGCTAGTATCTAGAAGGAAATTTTGTTTTCTTCCAGTTAACATTACATTCAGTCTGCAGTTAAAGTTTTTAAACATCTATTAGATTCATAAATTATCCTGGATTTTTACCAAACTTCGACAGAAGCTTCTTACAATCAAAAGATAGTATCAAGAGGAATATTTTTATTGATTTACTTCCTCATTTTTGTTGAGCCTGTGATTAACAGAAAAAGTAGGCGAGACACTGGGTTCCGCGGAACCCTTACGAATTTTTCTGAAAAAAGAGAAAAATCCCAAATTTACAAAATATACAGCATGGTAAATTTGACATGAAAAAGCAACAAAATTTATAAAACTTTCTTATATTAACACCTACCTATAGTTTTTTTAAGTTAAATTTATTCAGATTGGTCCACTTCATCTTTAGTGAAAGTATGAAAAAAAGTTAAATTGTCAAACTGTGATTTTTTTCATGATAATAGCCCATAAATGGGTAAAAATTGATGAAAAATGGAAAAATAATCAAAATTGGGTACTTTCAAATTGTATGTATGGCCGTAGCAAAAAAAGAAGTGCACCACCATATGATTTTTATTTCACCAATAATTTTTTTACAGTCATATAAACCCAAAAATCAGGTTAAGAGTTTAATTCTAGAAATTTTTGGCTCCTCAGAGGTGTACATCCTTAAGAGAACATCTTTACAATTAATGCATATATATTCTTCATTTACCCTGTTTGTCTTCTCTTGTTTCCGAATAACCATAAGTCCCATATTCTAGGCCAGTAAAAAATTACAAGGAGTCTCTTCCTATCAATCAATCACTCAATCCTTTAAGTAGGTATCTCTGCGACTGGAATGACTGGAATGGGTCCCTTTTTTGATATATTAATGGGTTGCAATTTCACCAAGGTCAAATGTCTTTGGGACAGTAATTTTCATCTTTCTATTAGATTTTTGTATAAATGCTGTTTTTAATATCGTTTTAAATCAAATGAAGATGTCAAAAAATGTATTTGTGATAACTGAAAAATATATGAATAGGTCGTGATTTTCACAATATATGAATGGTGGGTGTTTTTGAAATTAAAGCTGCATATCTGTCCCCAAAAACCCATGTTTAGACCCCCTCTCCTGTGTAAAAAATCCTAACAAGTTTATTTGAAATAATAAACTAAGTTGTTTCAGACCAATAAGCAAAACATGTATAATTGTAAATGAACAATTTGTGTGTTGCTAACAAATTATTAAGGACAACTATTAATCTTCGTTTCTTTACTGCATGTGATCATACAAAATATTAGGACAACTATTAATCTTCGTTTCTTTACTGCATGTGATCATACAAAATATTAGGACAACTATTAATCTTCGTTTCTTTACTGCATGTGATCATACAAAATATTAGGACAACTATTAATCTTCGTTTCTTTACTGCATATGATCATACAAAATATTAGGACAACTATTAATATTCGTTTCTTTACTGCATATGATCATACAAAATATTAGGACAACTATTAATCTTCGTTTCTTTACTGCATGTGATCATACAAAATATTAGGACAACTATTAATCTTCATTTCTTTACTGCATGTGATAATACAAAATATTAGGACAACTATTAATATTCGTTTCTTTACTGCATGTGATCATACAAAATATTAGGACAACTATTAATATTCGTTTCTTTACTGCATGTGATCATACAAAATATTAGGACAACTATTAATCTTCATTTCTTTACTGCATGTGATCATACAAAATATTAGGACAACTATTAATCTTCGTTTCTTTACTGCATGTGATCATTTGTTAATTGTATTCAGATAGTAATAATTAACCAAGGCTGCCTTGAAATATCCATAGTTCAACTGTATTGACACAGAGATTTGTAAAGAAATCCTTTAAAAGTCTGATATTGTTACACACTGCTTGCCCAGACAATCCAATATTCTCTGCCTTCTAACCAATTTCAGCTATAGATTTTTCTTGTGTTATTTATATCCCATGTGCATACACTGCATTTAGAGCAAAAATTGTAATTTTCCTTAATTTTCTAAGCTGATTAAGTGATTCACTTTTGCCTGTGTATGAAGATCCTTCTAAAATGTCTCGATAATTACTTGACTGAAAATATTGACATCTTGGCCTTATAAGTCCTCCCCCACTTATTAAAATTAGACTCATCCAATCAGTGTTATGGACAAGTACATTATTTTCTTTGAGGGATGTGTGGTAGCATTTTGATGCTGCTGCTGAGCAAATAATAGGTTGTGCTATTGCTTTTGGAACTTGACATAGATGTAGTCAAGATAGCATTAATGCAATTATATAGAACAGGGATTTAAACATTGTATTTCATTTAATTAGAATGGAGATATAATGAAAGATTGTAATTAATTGTGCAAAGAAGCAGATGATATGTGTAATTCTGGGAACGTCTGATGGAGACATTTTATAAATAGATTTTACCAATTTCTGTTGGTCATCCATGGAAGCATGCTGATGACAGTAAACATGTAACAGTAATTAAATAAGGAATCAGGATTAATGAGCCATGTTATTTTGATTTATTGTGTGGAAATGATGTTCCGAGGTTTTAAAGATCACATAGAAAAGTGTATTTGGGAGATCTGACAAAAATGTTAACAGAGGCTAACATAGATATTGAGCCTGGAGTCAATGGAGAAGAGAATGATGGCCTAGGTATGTCTTATTGAAGGGGGTTTATACTCAATGTAGATACTGAGCCTTGAGTCAATGGGGAAGAGAAACATGGTCTAGGTATGTCTTATTGAAGGGGGTTTATACTCAATGTAGATACTGAGCCTGGAGTCAATGGGGAAGAGAAACATGGCCTAGGTATGTCTTATTGAAGGGGGTTTATACTCAATGTAGATACTGAACCTGGAGTCAATGGGGAAGAGAATGATGGCCTAGGAATGTCTTATTGAAGGGGGTTTATACTCAATGTAGATACTGAGCCTTGAGTCAATGGGGAAGAGAAACATGGTCTAGGTATGTCTTATTGAAGGGGGTTTATACTCAATGTAGATACTGAGCCTGGAGTCAATGGGGAAGAGAAACATGGCCTAGGTATGTCTTATTGAAGGGGGTTTATACTCAATGTAGATACTGAACCTGGAGTCAATGGAGAAGAGAATGATGGCCTAGGTATGTCTTATTGAAGGGGGTTTATACTCAATGTAGATACTGAGCCTTGAGTCAATGGGGAAGAGAAACATGGTCTAGGTATGTCTTATTGAAGGGGGTTTATACTCAATGTAGATACTGAGCCTGGAGTCAATGGGGAAGAGAAACACGGCCTAGGTATGTCTTATTGAAGGGGGTTTATACTCAATGTAGATACTGAACCTGGAGTCAATGGGGAAGAGAAACATGGCCTATGTATGTCTTATTGAACGGGGTTTATACTCAATGTAGATACTGAACCTGGAGTCCATGGGGAAGAGAA